CGTTTATGGACTTGTGTATGTTGAGCCAGGCTTGCATCCCCAGAGTGAAGCCTGTTTGATCATGTTGGATATGCTTTTTGATGTGCTGTTGCAATCGGTTTGTTAGTATTTTATTGAAGATTTTTGCATCTGTGTTCATCATGGATATTGGCCTGAAGTTTTCCTTTTTTGTTGAACCTCTGCTGGGTTTTGGTATCAGGATGATGTTGGTCTCATAAAATGATTTGGGAAGGATTCCCTCCTTTTGTTTTGTTTGGAATAGTTTCAGAAGGAATGGTACCAGCTCCTCTTTGTACATCTGATAGAATTCAGCCGTGAACCCGTCTGGACCTGGACATTTTTTGGTTGGTCGGCTATTAATTGCTGCCTCAACTTCACCCCTTATTGGTCTGTTCAAGGTTTCAGCGTCTTCCTGGATTAGGCTTGAGAGGGTGGAAGTGTCTAGGAATTTATCAATTTCTTCCAGGTTTACTGGTTTATGTGCATAGAGTTGTCTGTAGTAGTCTCTGATTGTAATTTGTATTTCTGTGGAGTCAATGGTGATATCCCCTTTATTGTTTTTTATTGCATCTATTTGATTCTACTCCCTATTCTTCTTTTTATTAATCTGGCTAGTGCTCTATTTTGTTGATCTTTTCAAAAAACCAGCTCCTGGATTGATTGATGTTTTTGAAGGATTTTTTGTGTCTCTGTCTCCTTCAGTTCTGCTCTGATCTTAGTTATTTCTTGTCTTCTGCTAGCTTTTCAGGTTTTTTTTGATCTTGCTCCTCTAGCTCTTTCAATTTCGATGATATGGTGTCGATTTTAGATCTTTCCTGGCTTTTCTGGTGGGCATTATTGCTATAAATTTCCCTCTAGACACTGCTTTAAATGTGTCCCAGAGATTCTGGTATGTTGTGCCTTTGTTCTCGTTGGTTTCAAAGAACATCTTTATTTCTGCCCTCATTTCATTGTTTATCCAGTTGACATTCAGGAGCCAGTTGTTCAGTTTCCATGAGGTTGTGTGGTTGTGAGTTAGTTTCTTAATTCTGAGTTCTAATTTGGATGTACTGTGGTCTGAGAGACTGTTTTTTATAATTTCTGTTCTTTTGCATTTGCCGAGGAGTGATTTACTACCCAATCATGTGGTCAATTTTAGAGTAGGTGCCATGCAGTGCTGAGAAGAATGTATATTCTGTGGATTTAGGGTGGAGATTTCTGTAGATGTCTATTAGGTCCACTTGGTCCACATCTGAGTTCAAGTCCTGGATACCTTGTTAATTTTCTGTCTCATTGACCTGTCTAGTATTGACAGTGGAGTGTTAAAGTCTCCCACTATTATTGTGTGGGAGTCTTTCTGTTTGTAGGTCTTTAAGAACTTGCTTTATGAACCTGGGTGCTCCTGTCTTGGGTGTGTATATATTTAGGATGGTTAGCTCTTCTTGATGCATTGATCCTTTTACCATTATGTAATGCCCTTTGTCTCTTTTGATCTTTGTTAGTTTAAAGTCCATTTTATCAGAGACTAGGATTGAGACTCCTGGTTTTTTTTGCTGTCTATTTGCTTCATAAATTTTCCTCCATCCCTTTATTTTTAGCCTATGCGTATCCTTGTATGTGAGATGGGTTTCCTGAATACAGCACACCGACGGGTTTTGGCTTTTTATCCAATTTGCCAGTCTGTGTCTTTTGATTGGGGCATTAAGTCTATTTACATTTAAGGTTAATATTGTTATGTGTGAATTTGATCCTGCCATTTTGATGCTAGCTGGTTGTTTTGTCCATTAGTTGAAACATTTTCTTTATTGTGTTTATGGTCTTTACTATGTGGTACATTTTTGGAGTGGCTCAAACTGGCTGTTCCTTTCCTTGTTTAGTGCTTCTTTTAGGAGCTCTTGTAAGGCAGGCCTTGTGGTGATGAAATCTCTCAGCAATTGCTTGTCCATAAAGGATTTTCTTTCTCCTTCACTTATGAAGCTTAGTTTGGCTGGATATGAAATTCTCGGTTGAAAGCTCTTTAAGGATATTGAATATTGGCCCCGACTCTCTTCTGGCTTGTAGGGTTTCTGTTAAGAGATGTGCTGTGAGTCTCATGGGCTTCCGTTTGTGGATAACCCGACCTTTCTCTCTTGCTGCCCTTAGCATTTTTTCCTTCATTTCAACCCTGGTGAATGTGATGTTTATGCGCCTTGGGGTTGTTGTTCTTGAGGGATATCTTTGTGGTGGTCTCTGTATTTCCTGTACTTGAATGTTGGACTGCCTTGCTAGGTTGGGGAAGTTCTCGTGGATAATATCCTGAAGAGTGTTTTCCAGCTTGGATTCATTCCCTCCGTCACATTGAGGTACACCTATCAAACGTAGATTAGGTCTTTTCACATAATCCCATATTTCTTGGAGGCTTTGCTTATTTCTTTTCACTCTTTTTTCTCTATTAATGCCTTCTCATTTTATTTCATTGAGTTGATCTTCAGTCTCTGGTATCCTTTCTTCTGCATGGTCAATTCAGCTATTCAAACTTGTGTATGCTTCACGAAGTTCTTGTGCCGTGTTTTTCAGCTCCATCAAGTCATTTATATTCTTCTCTAAGCTGTTTATCCTAGTTAGCATCACACCTAACCTTTTTTCTAGGTTCTTAGTTTTTTTGCATTGGGTTAGAACATGTTCTTTTAGCTCTGAGAAGTTTATTATTACCCACCTTCTGAAGCCTGTTTCTGTCAATTCATCTGGTTCATTCTCCATCCATCTTTGATCCCTAGCTGGTGAGGGGTTGTGATCTTTTGGAGGAGGAGAGGTGATTTGGTTTTTGGTGTTTTCATCCTTTTTGTGCTGGTTTCTTCCCATCTTAGTGGTTTTATCTACCTGTGGTCTTTGTAGTTAGTGACTTTCAAATGGGGTCTCTGAGTGGATGTCCTTTTTGTTGATGTTGAAGCTATTTCTTTTTGCTTCTTAGTTTTCCTCTAACAGTCAGGCTCCTCTGCTGCAGGACCGCTGGAGGTCCACTCCAGACACTACTCACCTGGGGATTGCCTGCAGGGGCTGCAGAACAGCAAGGGTTGCAGGTTTCTTCCTCTGCTATCCTTGTCCAAGAATGGTACCCATCAGATGTCGGCCTGATCTCCCCTTTATGAGGTGTCTCTTTGGGTATACAGGGGTCGGGGAGCTGCTTGAGGAGACAGTCAGTCCCTTATAGGAGCTCAGGTGCTGTGCTGGGAGCTCCGCTGTTGCATGCAGAGCTACTGGGCAGGTACCTTAAAGTCTGCTGCAGCTGAACTCATAACCACCTCTTTTCCTCGGTGCTCTGTGCTAGGAAGGTTGGCTTTATTTATAAGTCCCTGTCATGTTGCTGCCTTTTTTTTATAGATGCCCTGTCTCACACGGAGTAGTCTAGTCATAGTCTGCCAGGAGAGGAGTTGCTGAGCTGCTGCAAGCTCTGCCCTGCTGCTTTGTGAACTGCCTCAGTAGTGGCGGACTGCCTTGATAGTGGGGGATGCCCTTTCCCCCACTGAGTTGGATGGTCCTGCGTCCAGCTGTGCTTGCTGTGAAATGCTTATTCCAGAGCATTTCAGACTGCTGTTTTGTGGGGGTGGTACCCACCGAGCCATATTCCCTGATTCCCTGTCTTAGCCCCCTCCCTTTCAGTTGAATGGACAGCTCCGTCTCCCAGGTGTAGGCCAAAAAGGCAGCCCAGACTTTGTAAGTTTCTGTGCGCCAACATGGCACCATCTGAAACCGCCGTGCTTAAAACTTGTGGTGCTTTTCTGCCCGGGAATCTCCTGGTCTGTGGGCAGTGAAAATTGGTTTGGAAATGCAGTGAGCAGTGACCCTCTGCACCGCCCTCACTGGAAACTGCACTCTGGAGCTGTTCCTATTCGGCCATCTTGGATTGTGACCTAATCTTTAAATCATCCTGCAAAATAGGATTAATTCTATCATTTTACTTAATTAAAATGTTTTTGATAAGTAGTAGTAATAGTAATAACTATGACATCCAGCTGGATGCAGTGGCCCATAGCTGTCATTCCAGAGCATTGGAAGGCTAAGGTGGGAGGTTCCCTTGATGCCAGGAGTTTGAGACCAGCCTTGACAACAAAGTGAAATTCCTACTCTCTAAAAAGTTTTTTTCAAAATTAGCTGAGTATGCTGGAGCACTTCTGTGGTCCCAGCTACTCAGGAGTCTGAGACAGGAGGATCGCTTGAGCCTAGGAGCTCCAGGCTGCAGTGAGGTATAAATACAACGTTGCACTCCAGCCTGGGAAACAGAGTGACACCCTGTCTCAAAAAACAAGAGTCTAACAATTATTGAGTTGTTGCTTGTTCTAGAAATGGTTCTAAATATCTTACATAGATTCTTATTTAAACATCACAGTGGTGTCCTGTGAGCTGGCTGCTATTGTCATCTTTATTTTATTTTTATTTTTATTTATTTATTTATTTTGAGACAGAGTCTTGCTCTGTCGCCAGGCTGGAGTGCAATGGTGCAATCTCGGCTCACTGCAACCTCTGCCTCCCAGGTTCAAGCAATTCTTCTGCCTCGGCCACCCAAGTAACTGGGACTGCAGGCGTGTGCCACCATGCCCAGCTAATTTTTGTATTTTAGTAGAGCCGGGTTTCACCATGTTGGCCAGGATGGTCTCAATCTCTTGACCTCGTGATCTGCCCACCTCGGCCTCCCAAAGTGCTGGGATTATAAGCGTGAGCCACCACACCTGGCCTATTTTAATGAGGAGATTGAGGTACAGAAAGGCTAAGCAATAGCTGGTATAAGTGACAGAATTCAAAGTAGAACTCAAGCCCTAGTTGAACTGAATCCAAAGACCAAGCTCATTCTATCCAAATAGGCTGCTGTTTCATCAAGGTAATGAGCATTAAGGGCTAATAAATACTGTACTTTCTTCAAAAGAAAATTATTTGTTTTGAAGGCCGAGGAATAACATACTATTCAGTGTTTACAATGACATGAATCATTGTAGGTTTTGAGATATTGCACTATAATTTCCTGAAAACTCCTCTTACTCTCACAGGACTCCTCTGCATTTGGCCTGTGCATATGGCCGTGTGGAAGTGGTCACTCTGTTGGTGAGCAGAAAGTGCCAGATTGATATCAATGACAGACTAAGCAGGACCCCTTTAATGAAGGTATATAGTAGTCAACTCTTTCAACATGGAATGGATTTGATAAATAAAATGGATTTATCTCATTCACATATAACTAGTGGGTGAAACCTATGGAATATGTATTTTGAATTCTTAGAATTTACAGTCTAATTTTTTATCTAACACTGATAGGCTGTGCATGGTCAGGAGGAGGCTTGTTCCATTATTCTGCTGGAACATGGCGCCAATCCAAACATTCAAGATGTCTACGGCAACACTGCTCTTCATTATGCTGCATCTAACAGCGTGACTTCACTGGCAGAAAAACTGCTCTCCTACCAGGCAAATATTGAAGCAATAAACAAGGTACAGGTCAATCAACTTTCTTTTCAAAATAATTGTTTTAATATTGACATAGGTAAGGGTCAATTTTTCGTGTTTGGAAGCTGAAGCATTCCTTGAATGAAAATATTTTGAAATAACTTAATTGTCTAAGACTTTACTTTAAATATTGATACTTTTAAAGAAGAATTAGAGGGTACAGCTTTTTTAGTGCACTTATGGGAAATCTTTGTGAATTTGTTCAAGGTAGAACTTTTTCTTTTCCAAAATTTGTTTTCCTACCCCAGGGTTGTTTTTTCTAATTAGTGTTAAAACACACACACACACACACACACACACACACACAGGAAAAAAAATCTACCCTGGAAATAGGTTTTATCTTAACACTCAAAGAAAACTAAAGCAACTTACAATAAATGGAAATCTTGCTGCTGATGCCAATTTTCTTTAAAAGACTGATGTATCTTTCAGTGGCAAGGCTTAAGAGGGAAAAATGGGAAGGGAAAAGGAGAGCAATCAGATAATATGCAGGCCACGTGGAAATTAGGTAATGAGAGAAAAATGCAAAGAAGAGGTTTTGTTTTTTATTTGGTTGTTTTTCCAGCTTATGTATTAAGACAAAGTGCTCTTCAGCTTTGGGGTAATCATTTTTGGTTTGGTAAAGAAAGTGATTGAAACTTGCCTGAAGATGAATTTTTAGAAGACTCTGAGGAAACCAGATTGGTAGTGAATAGGTGGTGAGAAAGTGAGAAACACTTCAGCAAAGGGTAAAACATGTTGGTAACTGACTTACCACCCGTCCTGGCAGAAGCAGCCGCCTAGATAAGAATCTAAAGTCTCCTCTCAAATCTAGACTGTCTTGGTGGTAAGGTGGGAGATAAGGAGCTTATAAATAGCAAAATCAAGTGGGATTTTGAGTTTACTTGGCCCTGTTCTACCCATACCCAGGAAAATTAACTGGAGTTTTAATAAATTACTCTTACCCTTTTGTCTTTTTGCCCACATCCCAAAATGATAAAGAGTATTAGCTGTGTGGGTGAGTGATGCAACTGAAGTGATTGTCTGCTGCACTAATTCTCAGCTAGAATTGTGCTTTACAGGGACCTGGGGAAATTTTTTAAAGAATCTGCAAGCGTAGGCTTTCTCTTGAAGATTTTGAGGTAATAGATCTAATAAGGCCTGAACATGTATGGTTAAAAATATTTTTTGAAGCCATGCACAATGGTATGTTCCCTGTCCCAGTTACTTCAGAGGCTGAGGTGAGAGGATTGCTTGATGCTAGCATTTTGAGTCCAACATCAGCAACATAGTGAGATACTTCTCTTTAACAATAACAGAAAAAAAAAAAAAAAACCTCTAGGTTCGAATACACTTCTGATTAAGAAGCACAGAATAGACGAATGCAGTATGCAAGTTCCCATATCTGAAAAACGTAAGAAATCTCTAAAAGAGTTGGCATTTGATAAGCACTACTTCCTCCAAATTCTCCTTTCCAATAATATTAGCCTGACTTATCTGTCTTTCTCTATGTCTGTGACTGGGAAGTGAAAGGAAATATTATTGGTAATATCTCTCAGCTTGCAGAATAACACCTTTTCCTTCTCATCATGAATCATTCACTGCTATTCAGAGAGTCTTTAGAAATTTGCTTGTAGGTAACCTTTCAATAAGTAGTGGCTGACCCTTTCACGATTTCATGTTCCTTTGTCAACATTTAGGTGATTATGTGTCAACAAATGTTCATCACAAGTGAGGTTTTTTCAATTTGATTAGTAGCAAATACTGAACCTTTTTTTTTCAGTTGAAGTTATATTGTGGGCTATCGCAGTATGTCTGTTAAGGTTATGGAGCTTTGGCATAATCAGTGTGTCCGTTTTAAACACTGAAATCCATGAAGCCAGTGAGAATACAGTAGGAATTCTTTTAAATAATTTAGTTTCAGCAGTCCTATGAACTACTTATCTATTTGGTTAACAATCTGGGAAAATGATATACAAAGAGATTGTAAAAGAATACATGTTGGGAAAATTCTCGAGATGGGTATTAGGAGTCTTAACAGCAATTTTTATTATATAGATAGATACATATATACATAGCAGGGCCTGAGTTTTTTGTAAAACATATGACACTAGAGAAAGAAAAAGTTACACAAGCAAATACTTGGTTTATACACAACTATTTAGTAACACATTTGTACCAAATATAAAAACACAAGGGCTATAGTCTAAATGTGGCACATAGATTTGTTTTTTGGACTCCTTAAATTGGGTCAACAGTTAAAATTGTTGACTGTTGAAATCTGGACTTGCAGAAATCTGGACTTCAGGCTTGCAGAAATCTGGACTTCAGGCTTGTCTTAGGAATCAGATCTGGTGTCCCTTGAGACTCATCACTGTTTGGCCTGCTGTGTGGAGGCTGCCCCTGTATAGGAGGGGCACATTTTCTAGTTTGCTACTGTGCCCACCTAAGTACTTCAGTTACTTAGGTAACCTCCTTTGTCCTTAGAAGTATTTGAGTTCACAACTCCTATTTTATAGTATATTTTCATAAAGATTTCAAGGTTTTCAAGACAGCGTATATTGGTTTATAATATATAATTTATAGTTTATATAAATCCCTCAATTATGGGGTTGAATTTTAGAATTCAGAAGTTTATTTTTTAAAACTATTTTTCTTTATATATACCACAAATAGTCGTCTGCTCATAAGAATGTCTAAAAGACGGGCCGGGCGCGGTGGCTCACACCTGTAATCCCAGCACTTTGGGAGGCCGAGGCAGGTGGATCACAAGGTCAAGAGATCGAGACCATCCTGGTCAACATGGTGAAACCCCGTCTCTACTAAAACTACAAAAAATTAGCTGGGCATGGTGGCGCATGCCTGTAATCCCAGCTACTCAGGAGGCTGAGGCAGGAAAATTGCCTGAACCTAGGAGGCGGAGGTTGCGGTGAGCCGAGATCGCGCCATTGCACTCCAGCCTGGGTAACAAGAGTGAAACTCTGTCTCAAAAAAAAAAAAAAAAAAAGAATGTCTAAAAGACATTTTAGATTATTCCTGGTGAGAGTTGGGTAGTTTATGAATATTGCAGACATTATATCTTTCTTTTCAGCAATGTCCCTTAAAATCACACACTGGGGTCTGTTGTGGGGGACTAGGGGAGGGACAGCAGGGGGTAGGGAGGTTGGGGAGGGGTAACATGGGGAGAAATGTCAGATATAGGTGACGGGGGGATGGAGGCAAGAAACCACATTGCCATATATTTCCCTATGCAACAATCCTGCATGATCTGCACTTGTACCCCAGAACCTAAAGTACAATTAAATAAAATGCAAGTGACTTACTGGCTTTTTTTATGCCAGAAATAAGCCATATACATCAGTATTAGAACTTTTATTGATAAGCCATTGTATCTTCATTACTGATTTATATTTTGCCTAAAGTTAAAAAATAATGTTAAATAACAATTTAAATGGAAACCCATACAAATGGATTTAAAAAGTAAAGTTGCATTAGGGTTCCAGAATTATCGTTATAATTAAGAATACAATTTCTTACTGAGCTATGCTTTTTAACATGTTTTCAGGTTTTTTTTTTTTTCTTGAGATGGAATTTTGCTCTTGTTGCCCAGGCTGGAGTGCAATGGCATGATCTCGGCTCACTGTAACCATTACCTCCTAGGTTCAAGTGATTCTCCTGCCTCAGCCTCTGAAGTAGCTGGGACTACAGGCATGTGCCATTATACCCAACTAATTTTTGTGTTTAGTAGAGATGAGGTTTCACCATGTTGTCCAGCTGGTGTCTAACTCCTGACCTCAGGTGATCCATCCGCCTTGGCTTCCCCAAAGTGCTGGGATTACAGGCATGAGCCACTGCACCTGGCCTTGTTTTCAAAAAATTTTAACCTGCCTCTCTTATACAGAACATACTGAACTTTTAGTCAGTTAAGATAAAAATCTATCCTCTTGTATTAGGATACAACCCATGAACTATTTAATAATAAGGAAAATAACTGCATTTGAAGCCAATCTCTTTTAATTCAGAGCTTAGTGATCCATTCAGATCAGGAGAGTGTGACTTTGGCATCTGGGACCCGGACACCGTTGGTAGAAGTGAATCAAGCAAGTTTGTGCCACCCAGAGGAAACTCAACCTGTTTTGGGAAGCTCTGGCAACTGTATCCCTGAAACTCTAGTTCCTAAAATGTTAAAGTTTGCCACAAAAAGTTGTCAAATTGGGATTGGGCAAAGTTCAGGAGATTTCTTGACTGTTGGACATACAATAGAGTTTTGTGATACTTCTCAAATGCAGATGGTCATGGAATCTTTCTGTTGGGGTACAGTACTTCTGGTAAAACAAATATTTTTTGGAATATAGTTTAAGAAACACTGCTCTAGAGATAACGGTTTTGATTATTAATTTATTTTAAAAACTTAAAGCATTTGCTACTATGTCTTAGGTTTTAGGGTTATAGAGAAAAAGGATGTAGCCCTTGCCCTCAAGAAGCTCTTTGGTTTCAGTGGGAAGTAATGAAATAATTACAATATGCTGTGCTAAATGCTGTGTTAGAAGCAGTGATTTCTGGGACTGGTAAATCAAGTGAGTTTTGGAGATGACCAAAGTTCATGTGGGGAGAAAGCAGGGGTGTTTGCAGGGCAGTGTGTGGGAAAGCACAGAGGAGGGAGAACGAAGGGACTGCTTTGCATTTGCTGACTGTCTGTATTGTATGTTTAAGTTTATGGCGTCTTATAAAAGATTTTTAGTTCAGTTGAGAAATATGCAATTTTGTGAATTATAAATTGTTTTTGCTTTCTTACAGGAGGGAAACACACCACTTTTACTTGCTATAATTTGCAAGAGACAGAAAGTGGTAAAGTTTTTAATTAAGAACCAGGCAAATGTACACGCTGTTGACAATTTCAGAAGGTACAGTAGTTATTTTTTTTAAAAAATAAAAAACTGAATGTTCTAGGGTGGTATCAGTCATGCAAGTGAGAAATATTAATAAAAAGATTAACTTGCAATTGTCGGCATACAGTGAAAAATAACACAGATAATCAGGTAGAAAAGCAATTATTTGGACTGAACAACATAGAAAACAGTATATAGTAGGATTCATCTTCTCATAGACTCTTCTCTTTAATCTGATGTTTTTGGTCCTGTAATCTTATATTAGCTAAAGTGGTTTTGTATTTTATTAATTTTATAAAGTGCAGACTTTAACTTTCAGTTTACAGCTACTACTATTACCAGTATTATCATCATCATCATCATCGTTGTTTTCAGCCTGCAGATCGCTCTTACTTCTCTGACCCCTTGCTGATTTTGAATTACAATATATCAGACTAGGAAAGCAATGGGAAAATCTTCATCTAAATCTTTGCCTACTTTAGATAAGTGACCTCAGCATCGTTTCTTGGCCATCAAAGGACTATAAGTTAGCAACTTGTATTATGTCATACCCCATTGGGACAAGAGGCTTCCTCATTGTCCCTGCCTTTAAGCCTTGGTTGTAATTTACAAAGATGAGCACTTGAGCACCTAAGTTGCTGACAGACATAAGCTAGAGCATGTAAACTGTTACCGTGTCTACACTGATAGGCAAGATAGTAAATTGGTAAATTGTATCAAATTTGCTGATTAAATATCTTTATTAAAGTTCTTGAGTGGAGTTATTTCTTTATTATTTTAGAACAGCCCTCATGCTTGCTGTACATCATGACTTGCCAAGTATAGTCAGCCTTCTCCTTGAAGAAAATATTAGCATCTTTTCTCAAGATATGTTTGGACAAACAGCAGAAGATTATGCTGTTTGTTGTGATTTGATAAGGTAAGTGCTTGTATTAAAAGACCAGTTAATACTAAATTAAGGTTTAAAATAATTACAAATATTGCATCTTATACGTTAGATGACAGTTCATAGTTTTATTGAGGTAGTTTGGAATGGCAATGAGTTAGTCCACTTTTTAGCCAGAAATCAAACAGAAAGCTAGGCTAGTTAGAAGTAGCAGTGAGTGCAAGATTCAGGACTTTTAAAGGTCTTTATCCCTAGAGATCTCAATGTTGTTCATTTTATTCCAAGTGTAACCTTTATATGTGAGATATAAATAGTGTCACATCTTTTATTCTTTCCTTCCCTCCCTCCCTCCCTCCTTCTCTTCCTTCCTTCCTTCTCTCTCTTTCTTTCTTTCCCCCTTTCCTTTTCCTTTTCCATTTTCTTTTCTTTATTGTCTCATTACGTTGTCCATTTTCCTGAGCTCAAGTGATTCTCCTGCCTCCCCCTCCCAAACTGCCAGCCACCATACCTGACTTTTCTAATTGGTTATTGGGTCTTCAAATGTCCAGTTTAGCAGAAAATCTTGTATTGTCCCCTGAGGCTATTCCCTATGCCTTCCTCCTTTGAGTTTTTCAGAAAGCTAACGAGTTCCCTAAGTCCAAGGAGGATAATCTTGCTTTACAAGTCAGAAGAATGGGGCAAAAGGCCATTTTAATCATTCTGTTGTTTCCATTTATTCACTTGCTGTATTGCTTCTGCCATTGTACCTGGTCCTGCAATCTGGTGATGATTGACCTTTGCCACCATGATGCCTTTACTGATTCAGATTCCTCAGTCTTCATGGTGACTCATACACAGAGTTCACAGCTACAGTGTTTTTCAGTTCATGTACATATGCTCAGCCATTGTTCCCAGCACCCTGCTCTGTCAGCGAGGCCTCCTGGCTTTCCAGACACACAGAGTGAGTCAATTGTCCCTCCCCCAACACTAAAAACCTTATGTGTAGCCCAACCTCTTATCTAGGCTTAGCCTAGACCTTCATGGTAAGTTATCCTCTGAGACCTGTGTTCATCTTTTCTCTAGCAAATATTAGTTGGGATTGTACTCAACAGTCAGGAATTGTCAAATAATGTTTCAGAAAGAGATCAGAGTTTCCTTTCCCTTTTGTCATCACATCTGTACCTTAGGGTTTTTTTTAGGTCCCGTGTAGCAGCTTCTGTTAGCAGAAGGTTCCATGTTATCCTTCAGTAGAGTAGTGGGCGCCAACTTGCAGTTGGCCCCTTAAGTGATCTGTTTCCATAATAATGAAAATCTCTCAGGCTACTTGCATCTCTACCGCAAGTTTTAAAAATGTTTTAAAATTGTACCTCACAGAGTCATTCAACAGAATTCTCTGTATCAAAAATAGGTAATTTGGATTTAACAGAGTTGAGCCTCATCCACGACTCATGAGTAGCCATGTGTAAAACAGGGCTTTATACTTGTTTCAGCAGCACAGATTCTAAAATTGGATCAATACAGAACAGATAAGCATGCCTGCTGCCTCAGGATGGCACAGAAATTCAAAAAGTATTCCATATTTGGCATAGTCCTCAGAAGGTCATTTGACTTTTTGTTAACTAGCTCCAAGGAAACAGTGTGAGTCAAACCAAAACAGGAGATACCCGATATTGAAATTGTTATCATTATATCATGTAAGGTGATCTGTGAAATGAGAACAGAGCTGAGTAACATATGGGATGTTACATGCACGTATGTTGTTAGCACATGACTTGGAAATGAGGAAACGTCAACGTGCATCTCTTTCATGGAACTGAAAAACAATACAAGCAGGGTTTTATCTTGTGTGTCAGTTGAGAGGACCAAGAAGATGCAGCCCTTTAGCAGAGATCTGCTGGCTCAGAGTTTGAGGAGGTAGAGCAGGAATGGTAGTTGTCCAAGCCAGGTTTTGACCTCTATTGGTTTTCTGGCCTTGGTGTGATTGATAAGCTCAGTAATAAGGGACAATTAGGTTATCTGTTTTAATGAGATAATATATTTACATATAAATGTAGTTACAAATTATAAATGAGCTAAAATGCTCTGAACTACAAGCCACGATGAGTGGAACTAATAACTAAAATTAGCACATAATAACATTTTCCAAAAACTGTGACATTCAAATATTAGAACACAAATATTAGAAAACACCCATCAGGTTTTATTTGAGATTCCAAAATTTTTTTTGGAATACAGTTCAAGAATAAATTATTCAATTGCTTTACTATTTTTCGGAATGTTTAAACATGTTATCTCATTACATTCTCCTAGCAACCTAGAGAAGTAGGGTAGTAAAATCCTTGTTTTTGAGAAGAAGCCATGGAGCCTAAGAGAAGCAACCGGTCTGAAAACAAGATACCTATTGATGACAGAGCGAGGACTTATTCTGAGTGTAGGACACTTTCCAGGCTCTTAAGCTGATTAGAATTTATTTACTGAGCTATCATGTTTTTCTTCTTTGATTAGAGGCCTAGTAAGTTTATAGAGCTTCAAATTTTAAAGTGTGTGGGACATTAGAGTTCTGATATTAGCTCTGATATTGTCTGAAATGCTTTAAGAATTTAATATGTTTGGTGAATATTTTTCATGTCACTATTAAAATAGTAATTTATTACATTCATTATGCATAGGATTCAACAACAAATTTTGGAACATAAAAATAAGATGTTTAAAAATCATCTTCATAATGACAATCAAGGTAAGACTTCTTGATAGTAAATTTCTCATTTCTCTTGGTGGTCTTATTGATTTTAAAAAGTAACATTACAGGCTAGGTGCGGTGGCTCATGCCTGTAATTCCAGCACTTTGGAAGGCCGAGGCTGGTGGATCACCTGAGGTCCGGAGTTTGAAACTAGCATGGCTAACATGATGAAACCCTGTGGCTACTAAAAAAGCAAAAATTAGCCAGGTGTGGTGGTGAGTACCTGTAATCCTAGCTACTCGGGAGGCTGAGGCAGGAGAATTGCTTGATCCCAGAAAGTGGAGGTTTCAGTGAGCTATGCTTGCACCACTGCACTCCAGCCTGGATGAAAGAGTGAGACTCTGTCTCCAAAAAATAAGAAAAAATAAAGTAAGATTTCATAGTTTAATTATAAAAGAGCAGTTTAAACATATATATAAATTAATTTTAAAAATTTAGTTTCTTTAGAATTCAGAGTAGTTTAAGAAGTTAGTTGTAGCTAACTCATAATCTCAAACAGTATTGTCTTAAAAAATTTATTTACCCACTTATAATCCCTGAAATCCTACATGATATTTTTGTATTACTATAAATAAGAAATTAGATTTTTAATTTTGTATATTTTTCTCTATAATCAAATTATTACAAATTGACTTGTCATGCAAATAGATCTATTTAATTTTTATAGTAAATGGTTTGTATTTAGTAAATAAATATTAATTACAGTTGATTCTTGAATAATGTGGGGGTTAGGGACTCTAGCCACTGTGCAGTTGAAAATCAGTATAATTTTGACTCCTTACAAACTTCTTAACGACCAGTAGTCTGCCATTGAGTGGAAGTCTTACTGATAACATAAACAGCCAGTGAACACATATTTGGTATGTGTTGCATTACTGTATTATATACTGTGTTCTTACAATAAAGTAAGCTAGAGAAATGAAGCTGTTATAAAGAAAATCATAGAAAAGAAAAAAATACACTTACTATTCATAAAGCTTAAGTGAATTCCCCCAAAGGTCTTCATCTTCATCATCTTCAGGTTGATTAGGCTGAAGAGGAAGAAAAAAGGTTGGTTTTGCTGTCTCTGGGTTGCAGAGGCAGAAGAAAACTCTGCATATAAGCGGACCCCTGCTGTTCAAACTCTTGTTCAAGGGTCAACTGTATTACACAGGAATTTGTGTCACTAAGAAAGTACCTATCTTTAGAACTGGGAACTCAACAATCTCTTTCTGATATCACAAACAAATGGCAATAAGAACCATAAAACTAAGCCAGTGTGCACCCATACAAATAGATTATTTTTGAAGATACCTCCTGAAGACAGAAAAGTAATTGCTTTCTAAGAAGCGGAAGTTATGGTACATATTCTTATACAAAAAGGCCTATTTTTTACTTCATTCTCTGTCATTTGGAACCTCATGAGATATACTCACTTCTTAGAACAAGCAGTGTTTTTTTATTTGCTGGCTAATTATCATAATAATAGTAATTTTGTTGGAACAAGATACTCTGTTACCAGGCTGGGCACAGTGGCTCCTGCCTGTCATCCCAGCACTTTGGGAGGCCCAGGCAGGTAGATGACTTGAAGTCAGGAATTGGAGACCAGCCTGGCCAACATGGTGAAACCCCATCTCTACTAAAATTACAAAAATGAGGCAGGCCTGGGGGTGGGCACTTGTAATCCCAGTTACTCAGGAGGCTGAGGCAGGAGAATTGCTTGAATCCAAGAAGTGGAGATTGCAGTGAGCAGAGATTGGTGCCACTGTATTCCAGCCTGGGCGACAGAGCAAGATTCCATCTCAAAAAAAAAAAAACCACACACAGAGAGATACTCTATTATCATTAAGCGAAAGATGATAATAAATATTCCAATAGCCAAACTCTAGGCTCAAAAATTTATAATGAAATTATAAAAATATTTCACAATAACAAAAATAGAACACCTAATGCATTGTACAATCTGAACTGTAGGACGACACCATAAGTTTAGTACATATTTGTCAAACCGCTTCTATAAGTTAGGTTTGACAAATTGCAGGAGACAAGGATGGAATTGACACAGTTTTTGTCTTTAAGGTGCTCATAATAGAATACAGATAACTGATTTTTGTGTTTTTTAAACAGACTTAAGAAAAACTTTTATTTCATTCATAGACTTGTCTAACTTAAAATGTAACTATTAGTCATGTCTTTTATAGACTAAACATTTTTTCCAATGTTACAAAATACATTTTGAAAATACAGTTAGGAGGTTGTTATTACCATTGTCATTTATTTTATTTGCTACCTTATGTAGCACTTACTCTGCATCCAATACCAGCTGGGAGCTTACAGTTATTATTTAATATGTATGTATTACGTTCAGTACATGCAAGTCACTTTTACATTTGTGGTGATGAATGCAGGCTTATGAAATGTGGGTAGGATTTAGGGTAGCCCTGCAGAATGAGTGGAACTTTGCCAAGTAAGGAGGCAGAGGGATGATGCTTGGCAGAAGGAATATCTAACAAGCTTGCATGTCTGATGGAAGCAGCAGCCACGAAGAATGAAAGTTTTAAAAAAGGAGGAGCAAGTTCAAAAGGTGGGACACTGAGTGAACTTGGTAGAGTTTATGAGCAGTTCAAATTTACTAGTGCAAAAATGTCTAATATGGGTGTGGTTGGGAATGGGGTGAAAATAGCTTATAGTTATTATTTATTATGTATTTATTATGTTCAGTATGTGCCAGTGAAGGCAAGCTTAGGAAAGACTTAGTTGTTTTTTTACCTGTGTCTAGAAACAAGTTCAATAAAAGGCTTTTTAGCATGTAGAAATGAGTAGATCGTATCCTGTAGGCCAGGGGAATCTTCTCAGGTAGAATGCTTTTGCCTGCAAATACTGGAAGACCTAACTAACAGTGTCCAAAACCATAAGAACTACGCTTGATTTGGTTGTCCAGTGATACTACTAGATCCTACTTGTTCCTCTTTCAACTATAGCGTTGGCACTGTCTTCTTCCTGTCTCCTTTCATGGTTGGCTACTTACTAACAGCTCCAAACATCATATTCTCACAAGGCAGTATCTAAAGGCCGGAAAGGCTGCTTTTCTTCACATGTGCCTTTTAAATCAGGAGAAAACTCAGAAGCATGCCGAGGGCTTCCTTTAATAGCTTATGGGCTGGGTCACACCACATGCTCATCCCTGAACCAGGCACTGGAAAAGCAAATGTAATTATGTGATGAGCTTAGAATAATTATTTCTCTTTTTGAAGCTGGGGAGGGGTATTGCGATAATAAATATCCAACTATATTTTTGTTTCTCCAGCAAGAAACAATAAAGAGCTACTCTTGGGTAGGGAGCCAGCAGTGTTCGCTCTAGAAACTCATTGGAAAATTGTGAGCAGGGGAGGCATTAGATTAGATTTGAGAATTAGGGCATTCTGTTCATGGTGTAAAGCAGAAATTGGCAAGCTTCTTCTGTAAAGTGCTAAGTAGGAAATATTTTAGGTAATGTAGTGCCTCCCTCTCTCTCTCTCTCTCTCCCCCTCCCCCTTTCTCTCATGATTTAAGCCGCTGAACGCCATGTGATCTCTTGTAGCTACTGAACCCTGCCATTGTAGTGTGAAAGTGGTTATAGGTAGTATATCAGTGAATAGGCATGACTGTACTCTCATAAAACTTTATGATTGTTATTACCGTTGTCATTTATTTTATTTGCTACCTTACGTAACGCTTACTGTGTGTCCAATGTCAGCTGGGAGCTTACAGTTATTTAATACGTATGTATTATATTCAGTACATGCCAGGCACTGTGGCCTGTGGTTTCTAGTGTGCTGACCCCTTATATAGAGGATAGGCAGAAGATAGATGTGACCTGAGCATATAGCAATTATTTACTAGGCATTTATTATGTTTATTAGATGCCATGCACTTTTAAATTTGTGCTGATGAGTGCAAACTTCTAAAAAGTGTGTAGGATTTAGGGTAAACATGCAGAATGAGTAAAACTTTGCCAGGTAAGGAGGCAGAAGGATGATGTTTTCCAGAAGGAATATCTAACAAGCTTGCATGTTTGACAGAAACAGCAGCTACAACGCCTGCACATTTGAAGAAACGAAGAAGGTACAAACCATAAGATACTTGAGTTTCTCTACTCTTAGTTACATAAAGAGACTGGGAGACAAGAGAAGCTTCAGCTGTAGTTAATGCTATAGTTTTCTTGTCACAAATCCATGGAGTACATGAGTCTATTACAAGATTTCCACGCATCCATGATACAATAAAATGATGGAGCTCCAGTGGATTTATTTGAAAATATTGGTGTTGCTGGGCATGGTGGCTCCTGCCTGTAATACCAGCAGTGTTGGAGGCTGAGATAGAAGGATCCCTTGAGGCCAGAAGGTCCACCAGCCTGGGCAACATAGCAAGACCCCGTGTCTGTTTTTTTTTTAGAATGTGTAGCTGGGTGTGGTGTTCTGCACCTTAATCCCAGCTACTTGAGAGACTGAAGCAGGAGAGTTCCTGGAGCCTAGAAGTTTGAGGCTGCAGTTAGCTGTGATAGCAACATTACACTGTAGCCTGGGTGGCAGAGCGAGACCCCATCTCTAATAAAAATCAAATCAAGTAAGATAAGATAAAATACAATGCAATGTTGGTCTTTTGTTTTGGAATTATGCTTTTAAATTTTTTTTTAATTTAAGAAATGACAATAATTGTTGGCTTATACAAGGCTTTCAGAAACTGGCTTCTGCCCAAATCTCCACCTGCAGCCTTTTCTCTGACTGCCCTTTTATTTGGCATTACTGAGCTGCCGGTAATGCCTCCGTCACCGTCCCACTGATGTAGACAAATATATATACTCTGAGAGGCTTCTCTCCCTCTCTTGCCACTGCCTGGCATTTGCTACCTTTCCTGCCCTCTGCCTCTTTTAATGAACTTCACTCTCTAAGTCTCAGCTCAGGCTCAGGCATGATCCCTAGAAAAGCTATCTCCGGTGGCTTTTATTTCCATTCTTTAAACCCCAGTGTTTACCACTTAGCAGGAACTCAGTACATCTTTAGTAAAATAAAGACTGTTTATAGAAAGATGATTGCTACAGTCTAGCAGCAAAGAGGATAGACATGTAAAAACATGACGTGCAGTTCACAGGTGGTGGAGTGAACTAGGAAATTTTACCATGTACTAAGGGAGCCTTAAGGAAGGAGACACCTGTGTATGTGGAGAAAGCCAGATGCCAGGAAGACTTGACATAGCATTCTGAGCCTTTTTTTTTTTTTTTTTTCTGTTTTTAGAGACAGGTTCTTACTCTTACCAAGGGTGAAGTGCAATGGCGTCATCAAGACTCACTGTAAACTCAAACTCCTGGGTTTAAGCAATCCTCTCACCTCAACCTCTTGAGTAGCTGGGACTACAGGTACATACCACCATGCCTGGCAAATTTTCTATAGAGTCAGGGAAACTGACTCACTGTAATCTCCAGGCTTGTCTTAAACTCCCAGCCTCAAGTAATTCTCCCTCCTGGGCCTTCCAAAGTGCTGGGATCTCTCCTGGACCTTCCAAAGTGCTGGGATTACAGGTGTGAGCTACTATTCCCAACCTATATTCGGAGTCTTCAATAATGAAGATAAATATGTCAGAATAGTAGAGGAAAACATTTCAGAAGTTAAAAATAGGGTGTACCCTAAAAAAGATACAAATGGTAACAATAATTTTGAAAATATTAGTAAATACCAACTCCCTTAACATGTTGTTCAAAAGATACTATTATGAAGTACGGAATAGTAAAATGTTAACTTTATATGTTTTTACTGTATTTTAAACTTTTGTTTCCAGCAGTTTTGTTTATTTATGTTGGGTGGAACAGTTTGTGGGTGACCCTAAAATTTTTGCATGGTTTGAACCTGCTGATATCTAGTGTCTTTCCAAGTGGTTTGTTGAAGTTTAGATAATTAGAAGTATTACTTAATGATACGAACATTCCAGTAAACATTAAGCTTAATGTAAACTCCTAATTTATAAAATAAAACTATGTTGTTATGTTTCCATTTGTATAAAAATTATAGTCTTTAACTGTTCTAAGTCATTCATTTTAACTAAACATATGGATTTTTCAGTAGAACATGACTTAAAAGTGGCTTCAGAGGAAACACAAGAAAGGCTTGAGAGAAGTGAAAATATACCGCCACAGGTATATAACAATTTAAATTTAAATTTCTGAATTAATATTGGTTTATTTTTCTTCAATAACATAACATAGTTCAAATGAAGTGACCTTTTGACTATCCTTTTAGAATCCAACAGCTCATAATTTCATATTTAATTTGAAAATATTTTAATCAGTTATAAAATCTGAAATATTCTTTCAGTCTGTAGTAACTCATAGCTGTCTTTACCCTTGGAATTGAGGCCAGAAATTTCCAGAAGTCTCTTTGCTCTTTTGTTTTTAGAACCTTCTTCATGATAAAGAAGGTAACATAGAAAATTAAGTTGTATTACTATGCAAGAGAAATCAGGAACAATTTAACAGTGTTGGTCACTGAGTCCAACTCGTGTTAAAGGAGTCAGCATTGCCAGCCGTTCAGACTTGGCAGGTCTTCTATGTTGCCGGTCACCAGTGCCGAGGTTAAAGATTTCTTCTGTTTCTTTGATCTTTGGTTGCCTTGAGTGTCTACATCCAGGGAGAGCATGGGGTCATCAAATCAACCCAACTGCCTGTTAAGAGAATCGTGCCTTCCAGAATCAGACCTTTGGTGTCAGGATACAAACAATAACTTTCTTATTTTAATATAAGCAGTAAATATTACTACAGTTGTTTAATCCACTGTCACTTGTGGAACTTAGAATACATTAGAACTGCATATAAGCAGATTACCTATCTCTATATATAACACTATCGTATTACATATCAAATCACTTAGAAGAACATAGACATTATCTTCTCTTTCTAATTGGTGTTCATTTTGGCTTCTAATAATTTAGTATTTGCCTACTCTTCAGGTAATCTTTAGAAATATAAATTCACTGTAAGGGTTCACTATCTATGGTATGCTGAGGTAAAAATCTTTTTTTTTTTTTTTTGAGACGGAGTCTCACTCATTGTTTCATAAAATATGGTAAATTTTGACACATATGTGATTTGATCATATAAGTAGCGTACCTCCTCAGCCAAAAATTTAGCATTTGATTTTATAGTAGAAAGCTGAGTTCTGTATATTATGTTCTAAAGGTAGAGATTTTACATCTTTCAAAGTAAAAGCAGTTTAACCCTGCCACTGCACTCTGAGGCATCAAATTGCTTTGCCAAAGTCATGCTTTTAATTTATCTGACAATTGGATATATTTATCTGGTAATTTACATAATTTAAATTGTATCTTTTCTTTTGGTGCCATGAAATGCTAGGTCATACTACCTTAAGAGCTTTGGGTGAATTATTTAGTATTTCTTGGTTTTACTTCCATTATGAAGTAGATAATGGGGCTAGAGTAGACAACTATACTGTATATCTCTCAGCTGTAAACTTCTGTGGTAATTTAATGTGAAGTTTGGTCAGCAGTTCCACTCTGCTCTTTGTGGTGTGGCAAACTTTGATTCCTCTATTGCAGTGAGCACCTTCACTTTTTTTGATATCCCAAGATCCAAATGAAAAAAAACAAAAGTAAAAGGCAGTGGGGAAAAGAATAACTTAGTGCAGAAAAGGAAAAGCTTCTTTTCTGTTCCTGAAGTCTCACAAGGTCACATTCTCTCAGTCTGGCTATTTCATGTAAAATCGAGGTGACAAAGACAGAAGACACATTTTCTGTCTGCTGCGTCTTTTTGTTTCTCTGTTTTTGTGTTGATATATTCATACCACAGAAGTAATGATGATCTGGTGGAGAACAAAAGTAGAGTTAGAAGCCCTGGGGAAAATCCTGGAGCTTGCTTATATTTTTAACCTCTCTTCTTTAAAAAGAATTTTGAAAAACAAATCAGTTTATCAATGTATATATGTAGAAGTGCTTAGTACAATGTCTAAATTTATGATTTAGTAAATGTAATTCTTATAACTGACTAAAAACGTTAGAAGTGCCAAATCACAATAGAGTATTATCAGGGAAGCAGAGCTTTAAAAACTTTAAGAAATTTTATCTGTCCAAATATACATGGGAGTAACTTGCTTACTATAGGATTCTGTATGGGTTAGATATGAGAGTATAAATGCAATTTTCTTTTTGCAATATTTTAATTTAGTCAAATTAGTTAATATTTTACTTCATGCTTTGAGTTTGTTGTAATTCAGAGTAAGGCTTTTACAATTCTGACGTTCTTAAAAATTCTCTAGCATGTGTGTGTTTTTCTACTTTTATGGGTTCATTGACTTCGATAAATTTTTGAACTTTTGAAGTTTATGCTCTCTAAGGGAAGGTTTTGCTTCACCTTTTTCTCCAGTTGGATATCCACTTCCAGTAACCTTTTAAACTGCTTGCAAGTACAGGTTGTTCTTTCACTTCAGAGGTAACCATGGTATTTTCTTGAGTGCTGGCTTTTATTTTCTTTTGTTTTATTTAGGATTTTCAAAGTTATGGAACAAAGAAGGATGTCATGTATGAAAATTGCATGTTGAAGAGAGATACTGCCGTAATCAGATGGAAATTACACACAATGAAAAATGCCAGTCTCAGAAAGGAAAAGGAACATATTCAGGAAATTAAAAGCATTCCAGAAATAAATGCTAACTTTCAAAAGAGCATAAGACTCAATGAGAAAATGATAACAAAAACAATATCACAGTACTGTCAACAGCTTAATGAACTCAAAGCTAAGAATACGAGGCTGAATTCAGAATTGGAGAAGGAAAAACGCAACAAGGACAGATTGGAAGCTGAAATTGCATCCCTCCATTCCATCCTGACTGCTGCTGTAAATGAGCACAATGAAAGGGTGGAAATAAAATACCTACAAGTTGCTTTACAGAGAGCAGAAGATGTTTCTGTACAAGAAATAATGACTTCTAATATTTCTCAACTAAAAGATAATAATGAGTTGCTTACGGAACAGCTTTCTAAAGCTCAGATGAAGTGCAATACCTTAAAAGAGAAGCTCCGTGACACAAGAGATGCTCTCAGGGAAAAGACATCGGCTTTAGAAAGTGCGGAGAGGGACCTAAGACAAAAGCGGCATCGAATAAAGGAAATGGAGCCAATGCATCTAAATGAGGAAGCTAAAGAGAGTCAATTCATTGCAAAGCAGAACTGTGTAGAAGAGAGAATATGTCAACTAGAATATGGAAATCCCTTGCTTGAACAATTACTAGAGGCTGCTTGTAAGGAAGGCAACAATGAAAAGATAGTAATGAATACCCAAGGAGGCTGTCTTGAGAGTGGAAAGGAAAGTCTTCTTCTAGAGGAGAAAAATAAAGAATTAATGAATGAAAATAATTATTTAAAAGAAAAACTGTTTCACTGTGAAAAAGAAGCAGCAGAAATAAAAGTAAGTATGAAGAAAGAAATATTTTTAACCTTCTAGAAAGAAAATGTAAACTTTTCATTTTGGCTGTATGTTGAACCTAGTTCAATATTAAAAAGTAAATAGATGGAAGTATGTTAATCATACTGTACAATTCCAGTTACATGAAACATCCAGAAAAGACGTGTATAGGAACAGAAAGTAGATGAATGTTTGTGTAGGGCTGGGGCTGGAAATGGGTAGTGACTGCTAATGGGCATGAGGGATTGTCCTGGACTGATGAAATGTTCTAAAGTTGGATTGTAGAGATGGTTGCACGACTCAGTAAATTTAATAAACATCTTTGAACTGTATGTGAAAACATAAATTTTATAGTATGTAAATCATATTTCAACAAAGTTTTTTTAATCAACCCCTCCCCCCCCAAAAAAAACTGTGTTTACTGTATTAGCTTGAAAACATACCTCGTTTCCAGGAAATAAAAGGTAGAGCTGACAGAGGCTTTACTTTGAGTAAAGACATTATGTCACCTATGAAATTTTAGTAGATAGAGAGTAATGTTGATGAGGTATGTAGTCTTATACTGCTGAAATAATCAATTGAATGTCTTTATGTTGCCATATTTTAAGACCATAATGAAGTAGACATGTGGTAATGCTTGTACCTGAAATGAATATTTTGAAATTAAGATTCAATTAAGTGAGCTGCTTTGACACTTAATTCTAGATTTCCCAGAAGAACTGAAGTGTGTTGCTGTGTCTTACGATACTTTTCCTTCAGTAGCTCTTTTATATGTTTTAGTTGGTATAACTTTGTTTTGATTTCTATCAATGTGACTTAAGTCTCAAAATATGTAAATCTCACAATATATATTTTTTCTGACCCCTTAATATTTTAAAGACATCTACTTGTCATAAAATCATAATTTAGAACAAATGTAGTAAATTTTAGCAAAACATATTGATTTAGTGTTCCGACTGATAGGTACTTATAATTTAGTTTGAATGTTTTTATTAATAATTAGCTTATAATTTACATTTTAAGTCTCAATGACTATGATTTGGGTATAATTTTGCCCAGTACGAAGATACTTGCAGCTGTCTGTGATTTATGAGTGTGACATTCAGACTAATGAGGGGTGGTAGAGTGCATGTAAAGGGGCAATGAAGTGAGTACGTGACAGAGTTGTAGGAGCTGAGGTCAGGGAGGGAGGTAGAGGCCATGTTACCTAGGGCCTTGAAGGCCATTGGAATTTTACTTTTATTCTGAGATAGGAATCTGTTGGAAGGACTTGAACCTGTGACTGAATATGTGAGAAACTCAGGTTGAGTTGAAGGTCTAAGATAAAGGAATGGTGGGCTGAATCAATCTGTCATGTAAGTAAGAGAATACCAATTTGGTGGGAACATAACACGTTCTGTGTTCCTCACTGAATTCAGTAATAAATAATAAATGTGTACATATGAGGAAAAGAAAGTGAATCTGTGTGTGTGATCATTTTCAAAGTATGTAAGAGTTAAATATTATGAACATAATTTAATAATAAGGCAATTTATAAAATTAGTAACAAATATTTTATCAGGTGATTGTGAGAAAACTTCAAGAAGAACTGGCTGATAGCATTAAAAAAATATCTATGCCAGAATCTCCACTGGAGGGTACATCACATTGTCACATTAATTTGGATGGGACACAGGCTTCAAAGAAAAAATTATTTCAAGTAGGAAGTCAGGTATGTATGGAATTTAACGTGTTGGCAGTTAATGTGTAGCTGGTTGAATAATATAAAGTGTTTTAGGATGTTAACTTCAGTGGACAGCTTGACTTTGTATTTTAATTATAATTAATGATTACCATTTTGTCTTTATAATATACTTATTTCTTAAACTCTGCCTTTTATTGTGCCATTTTGAAAAATAATTACATACCTCTTCTCTCACAATATTTACTCATGGGAAATATCATTCCTCACAGAAAATTGACTTTTTTTCCTGTTAAACAGTATTTTTAGATAATTTCTTTATTGCCTTGCTGAGGCAAGCCAGATTAAGTCAGAGGAGACTGTTTAATGGAATGTTCCAGAAAGTTGTCTTATTTCTTCACTTTTGTGAATGGACGCAGAAGTTTTGTCTATTTATTTCATGGATTCTAGGTTAACTTGTACAGAAAGGCCATCGTACTGTTCTTTGAAATGTACATGTTTTTGGTTAATTTACAAACTACTTGAAAAGTTAGGCATTACAACTCAGTGTCTGTCTGTGTCTTCACAGCGTTGTGTAATCATCACCACAATCAATGTTAGAACATATCCACACCTCTGAGAAGCAACCCCTCTCCATGCCCTCTACCTACCCCAGTTGTAGGTAACCACCATCTACTTTTGTCTCCATAGATTTGCATGTTCTTCATATGTTACATACATAGAGTCATACTATGTGAAGTCCTTTATGACTGGCTCTTTCACTCAGTGTAATGTTTTCAGAATTTTATCCATGCTGTAGCACATATAAGTGGTTTATTTCTTCTTATTGTCAAATAATAGTCTGTTTCATGGCCACACTGGTCTTCCATTCATTCATCAGTTCACGGACCTTAAGGTTTTTTTCTGCTTTTGGGCTATTATGAAAACATCTGCTGTGAACACTCATTTACAGCTTATTGTATGGACATATGTTTTTATTTCCCTGCCATTGGACTTTATCCTCAGAGTTAACTGAGCAAATTTCAGCAACAGTCTTACTCACACTGTCTATCCTGTCCCTCCTGCCTTCTCAGTTTCTGTTCATCTAGCCTCATTTCGTTCAGACCTGGCAGACAATTTCCTCTTCCTCATGAAGCTCTCTCTGACTGTTCTGACTCTCATTGACCTTATGTCTCAGCTCTTGTTGTCCAGTTTGTGCAGGGCAACTTAGCCCTCAATTTTACAGGGCTTTAATGTTTCTATAGAAGATAAATTTGTCTCATTATAAATTTGCTTAAAGGGAAAGTAATATATGACATGCATCTCACCTATCCTTGTATAAATTAAAAATATTTTAGCTTAGCAGTTTTTAGCATAGAGTTAAATATTTTATAACATACCAATTATTTCTCCTTTGAGACACTGACACAGTAAATCTTTTATTCTAAGTGTATTTTTAGCAATTAACCAGTTAGTCTAATGGAGGAGAATTGTTCAATCAAATGCTCTTGTTTTTGTCAGTACGAAAAAAAGGATCTAAATTTGCCTTCCTTCACTATGCAGGCAGAACTGTATTTCTGGATGGCTGCCAGTTTGTCAGCTGCACAGTCTGGCTGCAGCTTGCCTGATGAACAGTAGCACAGCCCCTTAATTTGAGAGCTTAGAAGAGTGCTAGTGAAAGCAGCACACAACAGCAGTTGCTGGGAGGGAGTTGATTCCGGAGCCTTGATTTAGCAATAGAGTCCAGGGTTTTTGGCTCAGTGGCTCAGCATGTCTCTGCTGGTCATGTTGGTTATGTACTGCTGAGTCCAGGAGGTGCTACTTACATTATAGTACATATGTGAGTGTTGCCCACTGACTCATACTGAGAGAAAAGAAAGCTATAAATTATACACTCCCCATTTGCTGCCACTTTCAGTGGTATGAAGAGTGATTGAGCGCAGCTATAGGTTGCAACTTCCATTGGAATGCCACCTGCCTAACACACACAACTGTTAAGATATAAAAAACGGTAAAAATGATCATGCTAATAGCAAATATTATCTGTAGCTTACTATGCACTATGTACCCATCTAAGTGCTTCAGGTTAGTCCCTGGTTTAATCTTCCCATCATCCCAGTGAACTAGATGGTATTATTCTTTCCATTTCATAGCTAAAGAACCAGAGACACAGAAAGTAAATTTGCTCAAGGTCACATAGCTAGTACCTGGTAGAGCTGGGATTCAGACCCAAGCCTTCCGGCTTGTATGGAGATACTGCCTCTCAAACCATTCCATGAAGCACCTGGTTGGGTAAGGTGGTTCATGCCAGTAATCCTAGCACTTTGGGAGGCTGAGGCAGGAGCAGTGCTTGAGCCCAGGAATTTGAGACCAGCCAGAGCAATATAAGTGAGACCCTGTGTCTACCAAAAAAAAAAAAAAAAAAATTAATAGTTAGCTGAGGCATGGTGGTGCATACCTGTAGTCCCAGCTACATTGGGAGGCTGTGGTAGGAGGGTCGCTTGATCTTGGGCTATCGAGGCTGCAGTGAGCAGTGATCAAGCCACTGCATTCCAGCCTGGGTAACAGAGTGAGACTCTGTCTCATAAATAAAATGTTTTGTATAGATTCTCGTATAAATGAGTTAGACATCAGGCATAGACTTTTAACCACTTTGATGCTTGCTTGAGAGTGAAACATTTAATAAGGACAGCTTTAAACCATCTGAATCAATAGCCTCTAACTATTCCAGAAGGTTCTTATTCTATGAATTCCTAAGCAAGAGACTACCTGGATTAAGACATTTGGTGGACACCATTTTGGGATGAAGAATCTCGATTGGGAAGAAGGGAGACCTCTACTGACTGGAGCTTCCCAATGATATAGTCGAATGTCCCTCTGAAAGCAACTTTAGAACAAGACTTTGATCATGCCATGTCTCTATGGAAAAGGAAATTCTTCAAAAGAAAATGAAGGCAAACAATTGACAATCTTATTTTCACGGGAAAGTTTTCATTACTAAAGAAAACAAGAGCTGGGTGCAGTGTCTCACGTCTGTAATCCCAACACTTTGAGGGGCTGAGGCAGGTGGATCACCTGAGGTCAGGAGTTCAAGAACAGCCTAGCCAACATGGTGAAACCCTGTCTCTAATAAAAATACAAAAATTAGCTGGGCGTGGTGGGGTGTACCTGTAGTCCCAGCTATTTGGGAGGCTGAGGCAGCAGAATCACTTGAACCCAAGAGGTGCAAGTTGCAGTGAGCCAAGATGGCACCACTACACTCCAGCCTAGATGACAGAGTGTGACCTCTTTAAAAAAAAAAAAAAAAAAAAGGAAAAAAAGGACAAAGTATACTGGTCTAAAAAACAAGCAAGCAAGCCAAAAAGGACATGGTATACTGGTCAGTATCCTAAGGTTGAGACTGTCCCCCTTCAAGATCAGAAAATAGCACTGTACTCAAAGCAACATCAATAAGAATTAACATAAAATAGACAAGATTCATTATCTATAAAAGTAATCTGCACCAAGTAGCAATGTATGAGCATGTGGTTGAGAATATTGTCTATAATATGTGTAATAGAAAGAAGAGGCCTCAAGAAAAAGGTTGGAGGTGGAAATGTAAATTAGGGAATCTGGATCAAAGTTTTGAGATTTTAGGAGCCCTGAGAGAGTTTAAAAAGAGGAATAGAAAGGGGTAGGACTGAACTTCAGAGGTTGCTGCATTTAGAAATGAAAGTGGAGTCAGAGGAGCAGACAGAGCATTTGGTCACTGCTCCCAGTTGTGGTGAGTAAAGCAGGATAAAGTACTTCATGACCCTTGGACTTTTTCGTTGGAATTACTAAAAATCAGATTTCAGTATTAAAAAAATAAGTGTTGAAAAATAGATCTCTGGATGAGACCATGTGCCATAGAGTGCAATGGAAGGGGAGAAATAGGGTAATAAAGCCACAAAAAGTAGACAAAAGATACATTTTTGTTTATTAAAAGGAAAAAGTAAACTTTATTTAAAGAGAAATGATTAAGAGAAAGGGAAAAACTGAAGCCCATGGGTGAACACTTAGAGAGAATGAGAGTGTCTAGCTCAGCCTGAAAACTGATGAGGATAAAAAATACCATGGGAACTGGATAAGAGTTTACTAAGTAAGTAAACCGTCTAAGTAAGATGTAATTAACAAAACTTCGAATATCTTAAACTGTTAATGACAGTGTTTCTAGAGCATCTTTAAAAACTAAAGGGTAAATAAGACTACTCTTATTTTTTTTTCTTACTAACGCTTGGTATTATATGTGTAAAAACCCTCATTTTTAACAAACATTTTTGGCAGTTTAAGTTTGAGAAAATAATGAAAGTATGAATCATTTTTAGCTGTTTTAAGAAAATTGGCTATTTTTGAAATCTATCCTTACTGGCATCAGGTTTACAAAATGCACTTTAGACATGTGCCTAAATGCACATTACTCATCAACTTACAAGAAATAATATTTTTTATCTGTAGTGTCTCTAGATTTTAAAAAATAATTTTAAACACTTTTTTTTTTCAAGCCTGAAGAACAAAAGGAAGAATTAAGAAAACTTTTTGAGTTAATATCATCATTGGAGTATAATGGGGATCAAATGAGAAAGAAAAATAATGAATTAGAAGAAGAGAGAACTGGGTAAGGTTTCCCTACTGTAGAACATTTTAATCATTTATTAATTGATGTAACTCTAATTTTACTTGACTAAACCTAGATACAAATTCATTTTATGTCTGCATTTTCATAATTAAATGAATTATATTTGAAAATGTATTTCAGAAACTCACAACACGACATTATAGGCATGTGGGTCATGGGGATGGGAGTCAGCTGAGCTTCTGGGGCAAGGTTGGGATGAAAAAATTTATATTAAAAATATGGGAAAAAAGAACACAATCTTAAATGTTTTTGAATGCCAGAATATTACACTTATTCTTTACTGAGTTTGAAAACAATAATGACAAAGCCTTGGACATGAAATGTCAAGTGCGCTCTTCATCATCTAGTATGAATTTTTATTTCTGAAGATATTTTTGCTGTCTTTGGTCATTGTTTCTTCCTTTTGTAGTATCCTTCTCTGCTGCGTTTAAATTCTTTAAAGAAGACCTATTTGTGTCATTCTTTAACATCACAATTTATCTTGATATGTAGCTTATATTTTGTTTCTGCTTCTTTTCCGTTTAGATATAAAACATACCATGGCAATTTACTCATTTTACATAGGTACCTCCTTTGTCTACGTGAAGTACACATGTTATTAAAATTCTGTTTTACAGAAATAAATTATATATTTATATATATAACTTAAAGAAAAAGAGTAAAATGAGCATTCGTATTTTCATCACAGATTTTTATTTAAAAAATGGAATGTCTTTGAAGCCCTGAACACAGTTACTTTTCTATTTATTTACTGGGCACTTAAGTTGGTGTTCTGATTCTAATCAACATTTTTCCATCATTGCCTGTCTCTACATGGTTTTGTATCTCTTTAATTTTGTTGACATGATGTCAGCAAAGATCTCTAGATCTCTTTTTCAAAGTCTTTAAACCATCACACATCTCTCTGCACCTTTCCTTTTTTCTAAAACTGCCTGTTTTCTTTTTCTCCTCAACCCAGATATTAAAGATGTTTGCTTACTTCTCTTTTTCTATATTGAATGATCTCATCGATGCTTTTTGTGTGTACTTTTTTTTCTTATAGACTGTGGTCAATGGGTATTAAAATATATTTTTCTGTCTTTTTCAAACGTATGTGTTTCACTTTTTTCTCTTGGTTACTTATCTCTGGGTTATGGCTTATATTTAGTAGTGGGTTATTTTATCTTAGCATACCAACATGAATCTGAATAGTTTACTTATAAAAACTGTATGGTTAGGCCAGGCATGGTGGCTCACACCTGTAATCCCAGTACTTTGGGAGGCCAAAGTGGATGGATCATTTGAGGTCAGGAGTTTGAAACCAGCCCGACCAACGTGGTGAAGCCCTGTCTCTACTAAAAATACAAAATTAGCCAGGTGTGGTGGTAAGTGCCTGTAATCCCAGTGATTTGGGAGACTGAGGCAGGAGAATCACTTGAACCTGGGAGTCAGAGGTTGCAGGTAGCCAAGATCATGCCATTGCATGTAAGCCTGGGCAACAAAAGCAAAATTCCATCTCAAAAAAGAAATTGTTCTTCATATTATTTATCTAAGATTATAATTTCATATAGAATGCTTTCAAACTATGTCCAGTTGAAACTGAGAGGATCATAGTTTATAGATTTGTTTCTTTGATACGTCATAATATCTGTTTAAACAATTATTAAATATTTACACTTAAAAATGCTTGACTTACTAATTCCGTGCATTTCTGCAGATATAAGGAACTCCTAGAAATGACAATAAATATGTTAAATGTACTTGGAAACGAAGACTTCAGTTTCCATGGAGACTTAAAAACAGATCAACTGAAAATGGATATTCTGATTAAGAAGATAAAACATAAGGTAATTTTTAAACAAATTTTATCTTAAGATTACATGTGTGAGATATGCAGGTTTGTTACATAGGTAAATGTGTACCATGATGGTTTGTTGTACCCACCAATCCATCACCTAGATAATAAGCCCCACATGCATTAGCTATCGATCTTGATGCTCTCCCTCCTGACCCCAACAGGCCCCAGTGTTTGTTGTTCCCCTCCCCGAGTCCATGCGTTCTCATCGTTCAGCTCCCACTAGTAAGTGAGAACATTGTGTTTGGTTTTTGTTTCTGTGTTAGCTTGCTGAGAACAACAGCTTCGAGTTCATCCATGCCCCTGCAAAGAGCATTGTTTCATTCATTTTTATGGCTCCATAGTATTCCATGGTGTATATATACCACATTTTCTTTATCCCATCTATCATTGATTCCTTATCTTTACTATTGTGAATAGTGCTGCAATGAACATACAAATGCATGTATCTTTATATAGAACGATTTATATTTCAACATGTCATTTTAAATCAGTTTTAGCATTAAAAATCATGTAATTTGGTGAGATATTAATGATGGAAAAACCCACATTCTGCCAAAATATGTTGAAGGTTTATTCTGAGCCAATATGTTGACTATGGCCCTGGGTTACACAATGTCAGGAGATCTTGAGAGTGTTTTATGAGACAGTCACATCACAGTTTGGTTTTATGCATTTCCATGGACAGAAATTGTAGGGAAAATGATAAATCAATATGAGGAAGGCATACATTGGTTCAGCCTGAAGGTGGGCCATCAAAAAGGAGGGGCCAACAAGTCATAGGTGGGTTTTAGGGACCCTTTAGGTGACAGTTGGTAAAGACAATTGGTAAAGAAAGTTAAGCTGTTGTCTAAAACTTGAAACCAGTAGAAAGGAATGCCTCAATTAAGATAAGGTGGTTATGGAGGCGAAGGTTCTTATTATGTAGATAAAGCCTCATAGTTGGCAGCTCTCAGAGAAAATAGAGGGTAAAAATATCTTTTCAGATTTTAAATACACCAGGCTCTTAGGTAATCTTCTCTAGACCTGGAAAGACCTAGAAGGGTAGAGATTGGTCTCCATTAATGAAGACTTCTTATAGATGCAATTTCCCCCACGGAAGACAGCTTCGCAGGGCCATTTTAATCTCTTGGCCCTGTGGCAGCCATTTCAAAATATGTCAAAGAAATATATTTGGGAGTAAAATATTTGTATTTCCTTCAGCTTCTGCAATCTGTGAGGCTGTACAAGAATCTGGTTAGAAAGTAAGGCACATTGTAAGAGTTAATAAAACCCATCTGATGAGATTTTATAGTTTGAAGGGTATAATTCCCCAGTCCCGTTAGATAGAAATTGGGGCAAAAGAAAACAAGTTCTTAGTCCTCAATATAAATCTCTCAGTGCTTTAAGCAGTGAAAGAAAGATTTTTTTCCTTTACAGACTTGATATTAATGAAAAGGATAGTTTTTAAAATGTATGTTATATATTTTTCTGTAAAAAGGACATGCTGTTGATTCTCTTATGTCTTGAACCCTGGCCCGTGATCTGAAACCAAGCAGTACATGTCTCCGGATCACTAGTACCAAATAAATTTGGGGGAGTAACAGGTTTATTGAGAAATAATTAACACACCATGTAATTCACGCATTTGAAATCTATAATTCATTGACTTTTAGTATTTTCAGAGTTAGGCAATCATCATTACAATTAATTTTAGAACACTTTCATCACCCTGAAAAGAAACCCTACATCATTTAGCCATCTTTACTAGTTTCCCCTTTGCGCTCCAGCCCTAGGTAACTATCTACCTTCTTTGTATAGATTTGCGTATAAGCCTCTGAAATAAAAAGCAAGTGGTCTACTGTGACTGGCATATTTCACTTAGCTTAATTTTTTTATGCTGCATCTGTGTTGTAGCAAGTATTGATGCAGAGTTTTTGCTCTTTAGCTAAATCTGGTTTCTTCTCTCATGATCAGGAAGAATTAGGCACACAGACACATTGAAGGGTGGGGAGGACAGAATTTATTAAGTAAAAGGAAAGCTGTCAGCAAAGAGAGGAGTCCTGCAAACAGATTTTTACCTCACAATTGAATACCAGGGCTACCACACATGAGCCGAAGAGGTCAGGCTCCTGCTCTGCATAAGGCGTGAATTCCTGGTGACTCCACCCCATTCCTCCAGCGTATGTGGGCCTCCAGTCCACTGCAGGCATGTCCAGGCAAGACCCTGAGCAGTTTCCCTTATCTGTACAAAACATCTAGTGTAAACACTTGTGGGGCAGGTTGGAGATTCTCCGGGGACCCTTCTGTATCCGCCTAGGCATTTTTCTGTCTCCTGCTTCTATCCGTATCAGTACTTAATTTTTTCATTGTATGGATGCATCAAACATTTTATTTATTCATTCATCAGGCCATGGACCTTTGGGTTCTTTCGACTTTTTGACTCTTATTAACAATGCTGCTGTAAACATCTATGTATTAGTTTTTGTGCTTGTGTATATACTTAGTATGTTTCTGGAGTATATACTTAGGACTGGAATTTCTGGGTCATATGGTAACTTCATGCTTAACCTTTTGAGGAGCTGCCAGTTTGTTTTCCAAAGAGGCTGCACCACTTTACATTGCCACCAGCATTGTGTAAGGATTTTAATTTATTTACATTTTTGCTAATACTTATTTTCTCTTTTTCATTGAACAAAGATTTCATACTGTGATATGAAGTGATACCACATGGTGGTTTTGATTCACATTTTTCTAATGACTGATTACGTGAAGCTTCTATTAATGTGCTTATTATCCATCTTTATATCTTCTTTACAGAAATATCTATTCAGAATCTTTGCCCATTTTAAAAATTGGGTTATCATGTTATTTATGAATTGCAAGTGTTCTTTATATATCCTAGATATAAGTCCCCTTAGCAGATATAGGCTTTTCAAATATTTTCTTCTACTCAGTGGCTTGCCTTTTCACCGTCTTGATACTGTCTTCTCAGGCATGGCAGCTTTCAATTTTGAAGTCCATTGAATCCATTTTTCCTTTGGAGTCATAGCTAAGAAATCACTGCCAAATGCAGTCACAAAGATTTATGCCAGTGTTTTCTTCTGAGAGTTTTATAGTTTTAGCAGTTACAGTTAACCGACGTATTTTGAGTTAATTTTTAAATATAGTATTTGGTGAGAGTTCAACTTACTTTTTGCATATGGATGCCCAGTTGTCCAAGCACCATTGTTGGAAAGACAATTCTTTTGTTCTTTTGTTAACCTTGTATAAAATCAATTGACTGTAAATGTGCAGGTTTAATTTTAGATTATCAATTCTTTGTTTATGTCTATTCTTCTGCCAGAGACAAATCAAATTTAATGAGAAATTTTTTTCCATCATGTATTATGTCGTAATAAAAATGTAGTGGAACGTCTTTAACTTCACCTTTTGTGTCTCAAAGGAGTCTGTGGCCAGATTATACCTTACTTACTCTAAGACATGATGGGAAATCAGGCTCACAAGACACAGTTTATTTTGTTTTTTTCTCCGTTTAAAGGGTTAGTTTTTCTCCACTTAAACCTTTAGTATCAGAGACAAATAGTAGATTCGTATTTTGAATTTGAAAATTTCAGAGTCAAGTTGTGTGCTATAGAGAAACGTTGTATACACAGTTATGGGCTATAGAGTGATATTTTGATACACATATATAACGTGTAATGATCAAGCTAACTAGCATATTTACTCCTTCAACCATTTTTCATTTCATTGAGCTGTGAAGATTCAAAATCTTCTAGCTTTTTAAAAAAATATATAATAAATCATAGTTAACCATATTTACCCTGCAATGCCACAGAACATCAGAACTCATTCTTCTTATCTAACTGTGATTCTGTATCCATTAACCAACCTCCCCTCCCCTACTTCTGTGAGTTTTTTTGTTGTTGTTAAGAGACAGGGTCTTGCTAGTGTAGTCTGGGCTCTGGGCAACTGTATTCACTCAGACTAGAGAGAGTGGTTTGATATAGCTCACCGCAGCCTCAAACTCTTGGGCTCATGTGATCTTCCCACCTCAGCCTCCTGAACAGCTAAGATTATGGGCGTGCACCATCGCATCTGTCTGATTTTTTACTTTGTAGAGATGTCTCCCTATGTTGCTCAAGCTGGTCTGGAACTTTTGCGCTCACTTGATTCTCCTGCCTTTGTCTTTCAAAGTCCTAGGAAACTACAGGCATCAGCTGTGTTTCTCAGCCCTCAGTTTTTCTGTAGCTCCCACACATGAGTAAGAATGTGCTGTATTTATCTTTCTGTGTTCACACTTAACATCCTCTAGAGTGATCCACGTGGCCACATTTCATTTCTTTACATGCTGAATAATATTCCATTGTGTATGTGTACCACAGTTTTTTGACCATTTGTTGTTGGACATGTAGGTTGATTCCATACTTTAGCGGTTGTGACTAGTGCTATGATAAACATACAAGTACAGGTATCCTTTTGACTTCTTGTTTTCTATTGCCTGAATACCCAGTAGTGGGGTTGCTGGATCCCTCAGCAGTTCCATTATTAGATTGTTAAGAAAACCTCATGTTGTTTTCCATAATGGCTGCACTAATTTACCTTCCCACCAACAGCATTTGTTATTTTTTGTCTTTTCAATGATAGCTATTTATTCGAACTGGAGCAAGATTATATCACATTGTAGGTTTGATTTGTAGTTCCCTGGTGGTTAGCGATACTGAGCATTTTTAAATGTATTTATTGGCCATTTGTATTTCTTCTTTAAAAAAAAAAGAAACGTATAACCAGATCTTTTGCCCTGAACTCAGATTATTTTTTTACCGTCAGGGTGTTTGAGTTCCTTGCATATTTTGGATATTTGTCCCTTATTAGATGAATAACTTGACAATATTTTCTTCTATTCTACCGTTTTTCTCTTCACTCAGTTGTTTGCTGGGCAGAAGCTCTTTAGCTTAACGTAGTACCGCTTGCCTATCATTTGTTTTTTGTCTATGCTTCTGATGTCTTACCCATAAAAATCTTTGTGCAGACTAATGTCCTGAAGTATTTTCCCTATGTTTACTTGTAGTAGCTTGATAATTTCTGGCCTTGCATTTAAGTCTTTAACCAATTCTGAGTTTATTTTGTTAGATGGTGTTAGATAGGTTTTGTTATATGGTGTTAGATATGAATATTTAGTTTTCCCAGTGCCATTCATTTGAAGAGGGCGTCTTTTCCTTAATGTATGTTCTTGACACCTTAGTCCACAATCAGTTGGCTGTAAATATATGGATTTATTTTGGGGTATTGTATTCTATGGCCTTTACCCCGAGAATTATTACTTTTTAAAATGCAATTCAAATTAGCAGGAGACATTTGCAGTTTAGGGAAAGGCTTATGGCATCACAATCTCTATTTACAGGATTAATTATTTTGTGTGGGGTTTTTTTTTTTTTTTTAGATATGGTCTTTATCTGTCATCCGGGGAGAAGTGTAGTGATGTTGTCATAATTCACCGCAAACCTGAATTTTGGGTGCAAGCCATTCTTTTGCCTTAGTCTCTTAAAAAGCTGGGCCTACAGGCATGAGCCATTATGCCTGGCTAATTTTTTATTTAATTTTGTAAAGATGGGGATCTCACTGTGTTGCTCTGGCCGATCTCAAATTTTTGACCTCAAGTGATCTTTCTGCCACAGCCTCCTAAAGTGCTGGGATTACAGGCATGAGCCACCATGCCTAGCATAGAGTATATTAATTTCAAAGTCTTATTCTGAGAGCCGTTTATTGACTTTGGTCTAAACAACTCAATATGCTATCTCTGAAACTTTTTTTTTTTCTGACAAATTATGGGGAATGATGATGAGGGAGGGGGGTTAGACACTTTTTTTTAGTAGAGACGAGGTTTTACCATATGGGTCAGGTTGGTCTGGAACTCCTTACCTCAGATGATCCTCCCACCTTGGCCTTTCAAAGTGCTGAAATTACAGGTGTGAGCCACCGTGTCCAGCTTATTATTTTATTTTATTTTTTGGAGACAGACTCTCTGTTGCCCAGGTTGGAGTGCAGTGGTGCAATCTCGGCTCACTGCAACCTTCACCTCCTGGGTTCAAGTAATTCTCCTGCCTCAGCCTCCTGAGTAGCTGGGTATACAGGCACACACCACCATGCCTGGCTAATTTTTTGTATTTGTTAGTAGAGATAGGGTTTCACCATGTTGGCCAGACTGGTCTGGAACTCCTGAGCTCATGCAATCTGCCCACCTCAGCCTCCCAAAATGCTGGAATTACAGGGTGAGTCACTGTGCCCAAGCAATGCATTTTACCGAAATAACTTAGTGCCATTTAAGGAGAAACAAAAATAAATTATCCGAAAAATAAAAGTAAGATCAAGTGCAAAAGTTCTGTGGCAAAGATGATGATAGTAAAGAATATTTTTTGTGACTCATGATAGCTTTAACTTTGTTCTTGAAATTCTGAGTAATTTAAGGGTTCACATTTGAAGAATCTACTACATTATAGATAACATTTTATTGCAAGGAATTGTATTTCAAAATTTGCTATTGGTTTTGTATTAGATCATTCTCAGACTACTTCATTTTCAAGCTATATTATTTTATGCATGCAGCTTGATGATCTTACAGCAGAGGAGGAAGCTGTGTCTTCAAAATGTATCAATTTGGCTAAAGA